TCGATTAAAAAAAGATGAAGATATTATGGAGACGAAAGTGAGAAATTAGGACTGGACAATACATGCAGACGAATAGACCAAAATGGAAATCGTAGGGTTTGTGAGCCAGCAGAAATTCCTTTAAAAAAGATCTATAAAAAAAATCCAATTTGAGGAAATACAAGAGAAGCGAAATATACCAATTCAAGAAAGCTGTATAAGGTAAAATATCTCACAAATTAAGTAGGATCTATATAGCAATTAAGAACTGTGCTAATTCGATAAGACTCTCATGAGAAGCCAGCTCGTATGGAGATAAGTTTGGACAGAATGAGCCAACCACTATTTTTTCACACAAGCTGAAGGTTCGAAATCAGCTTATATTATTAGCTCAAGGAAACGGATTCTCTGGCCTCCATTTTGGGCTGAAAGTAGCAAAGAAAACTGAGTCACGATATCTGACTAATTCTTAGGAGCAGAATTTATAGAAAAAATTAGAATTTCTACCCATCCCGAATCCCAAAGATGATTCAAACTTGAAAGCCATCGATATATTCCATATATCATCAACCTCTGGTTACGGAGTTGATTTATATAGTGAATAAACTAAGCTTCTTATAGAACTTTAATATGCAAAATCAGGTGAGATAAAACTATGAAATTTACGCTAAATACCCAAACACAAGGAACACACACAACAATTAAAATGTGGTAATTTAAAAATAACTCACAGCTTTCTTTGAATTCATTCATTTCTTCAAGTGATAGCTCGAGTTTGTTTATATAGTTCTTCAATAACTCAACCCAGAATTCCAAACGGTCAATGATATTCCATGGTTCCGACATACTAACAACTAAAACTGCCATACAATCAGCAAAATTATAGGCAGACAATGCATTGCTGAGCAATGGAATAAAGACCATATCACCGTCAAGGACCCATACTCCAAGCTTTGTTTGATCTTTAACGTAGTAAGCAGAAGGATAGACCAACCATCTCTTTCTTCATCTTTTATATCAATATGATGGTACTCGATCCCCGGACTTTTTTTAGGGTCTTCATTTCCAGAAAGTCTAGCGATTAAGGTTGTCTTTCCGGCTTCGTTATCCCCGAGAACAATAAGAGCTTTCGAATGCGGCAATTTAACTGAGCTTTTTTCCATGACTTCTCGCAATATATTTGACCTAGTGAATAAAAATTAAGAAAAACAATTCAAACCACAAATGGACGCCATCTTCATGGGTCCGATAGGGGATGGCATCAACTGATAGCATAATAGAATAA